TGAAAAATGCGAACTAATGTAATATTTTATAAAAATGTAAGTAATGCAAGTTTATAAGTAGAAAATTATCCTTTAGTTATGAACTTGTAATCAAATTATTATTATTATTATAAAATAAACAGAAAATGGCTAACTTTCTCCTTGAGGAATGGAAGAAAAAGTAATTTATTAAGTGATGTTAGAATTAAATAATTAATTTAATGTAAATAATTCACAGAGATGCTTTAGTTTATTAATACTTCCACACTAAATTTTTCAATGTCCAGATATTAAAGATATTTTTAACTGCATATATTTTTGTAAAAACAAAGTAAAACAACATGATAAAGCAAACAAACAAAACATATTTAACATAGGGTAACAATTTGGGAAAAAACAAATGTTTTCAATCTAGTTAATGAGCAACCTTCAAGCATAAAAAGACAAAATGAAGGCTAGTACAGGGCAGAACAGAGTAAACAATAAAAGCAGGAAATGGACCATATGAACAGCTGATGATATGAAAGATTAAGGAGAACCATCAGACAGAGGAGGAAGTGATGGCCTCATTTCACCAGAATTTACCTCTTCTTAGGTCATTTACTTTATCACTCATTAGCATTCATCATCTTTTTGTTAAAACCTAAAAATGGCCCATTACTTATGTCAAAAAGTTTGTTTTCTTAAACTGATATTCACTGTTAAAAGATGTATTGTTTGATTTTTTAATTTGAATGCAGTGGCTAGTTTGACTTTCTAAAAGATGGAGTTAGTAAATTATATTAAATGTTTGAATTGCTTTAATTTGTTGTTTTTAATAGACTTCAGCTCTATTGAGAACACTAAATGAAAGTAAATATTATTTCTGAAACTAGATTCCTTTAGATGGACATCTTAATTCACTAGAATTATTTCATGATATATTTGAATATATTAGGTCAAAGTTTTGAAGTTATTATGTTACTTACTAAATTTCCTCATATTGAATTGACAATATTGTTTATACACGTGATATTACCTTTCTGAAATTAGAATCCGTAAGATATAAAATTTTCTGAGGGGCTCCAGCACATTTGATAGGATTTGGAGGTTGAGTAAATATTGCATTTCCTGAATAAAATGCTTTAACTGCTTCAGGAGTTTTGGTAACAGTGTTGTAAGAATAATTTGAACAAATGCCTGGACTTTGAAATGCTTCTGGTAAACCCTTTATCTAAAAAAATAAATAAAAAATTAAAAGTACAATTTAAGTACAGTATATCATATTATAAATATTACAATTAATTTCATTTATATTATTATTATTGTGTAAATTTAAGTAAATTGAGGTTGTATGTATAGGACAGTTTGTTAGATAATAAACAATACAATAAGCAGTTATTTATGAAAAATCTCCTTATAGTTTGAAACATTTTCTTCATTCCAACAAAAGTTTGGCTTATCCAACATTTTGTTGAAACAGAAGATGGATTGTAAATGCCTACAAACAATCAAAACAGTTTCATATTACTGTATATAATTAATAAATTTTACTCACAAGTCAGAATAATCATTAAACCCTTTATAATTTTAAAAAATTCAATACCTACATCTAACAGCCTATAAGATAGTCTGGTTTACACTAACTGATCTAACTAATATGTAGAAAAATTATGAAAATTTTGTTAAAAACTGAAAAATTCAGTTAGTATAATTTAAAATTTTACTACAGAGACCAAACTGCACATAATATGACATGACTAATGCTGAAAGCATTTGGTGTTTATGCTATTATAATATATGATTACAAGAAAAGGAATTGTTCGCTTGTATAAAAATAATCACAGAATCAATATAACCTTTAGCTAGGTTTAAAATAAACACCCACTAATTAGTAGAAAGTTTAAATTAAATACATATTTATGCAACAGCCTATCTATCAAATGTTGAACAGGTGTATAAATCTTTAAATTTATTATTCATCATGAAAATAATGATCTGAAGTTTATTTTTAACTTATCAGCAAATTAAAAAAAATATATTACATAATTTAATAATCATTTTTAACTACTCTTATAAATAAATTAAAATCAAAAGGAAATTCTACAAATTCATTTGTCTGTAGCATACTTACTTTTTTAAAATTTGGTATTATCCCCATGGAAATAATTAGAAAATCATATGCTACCTACAATAAAAATATTATGACTCAAAACATACACATAATAAATGTTCAATATAATATTTATAATCAATTTAATTCATGGAAATAAAGCATTTAATATCATATTACAATAAAAAAAAGTGATCTAAACATGATCATGACAGTTTTAAATTTATGTTTTTGTAATAATCTTAACATTCTATAAAGAGAAAAATAAAACAGCAAAATGCAGAGTCATAACTACAAGGTGGCCAAGCCCTCTTCAGCTTAGTTGGCTGCATCCAAATACATTATATACAGGGGTACCTCAGGATACGAAATTAATCCGTTCCGAAACTGAGATCGTATCATGAAAATGTCGTAAGGTGGATCATCTTTTCCCATACGATTACATGTAAAACCAAATAATTCGTTCCAACGCGAAAAACATACTCAAATTAAAGCCAAGTAATACATTAAAAAAAATAACTGTAGTAAGAAAAACAAATGAAAAATGCGAACTAATGTAACGTCGTATGGTGAGTTTTTGTTCGTATCGTGGAGCAAAAATATGTTCGAATTTCATGTCGTATCCTGAAAATTTCGTATGCTGGGGCGTTCGTAACCTGAGGTACCACTGTATGTGTTTTCACTTTTATCACTTAGACTTCTGGCTACTGTTAGTTTTTTTACACCTAGATTGTAGCTAATAGGCATATGCTGGCTGGAAAAGAAAAATTACTAGTCACAATTTTTTTTAGCTTGCCCCTAATAATCCTCTAATGGTTAAGGGACTGGCAAAATGTAAAAAGGAAGAGAATCAATTCAAAAATAAGAAGAAAATTTAATCTAAGCTTTCTAATTTTTGTTTTTTAACTGTTTTTTCTCATATTATTTTAAGAATTTTAATCTTTTGCATAATCTTCCAATTCATATTTGAGTTCATAATTGAAATTAATTTAGAATTATTTGAAGAAAACTATATAAATACATTTAATTTCAACAAATTACATAAACTTTTTGGCTTAATTTAACAAAATTTTAGATTATTACTTAAAAGATATTTAAGAATATATTAAATTTATTAACATTCTAATAATAAAAATTTTACAAGAAAAATAATAATAATAAATAATAATAAATTTTTTAGTTACTTTTCATTATTTATTTGTATTTCAGAAAATTTTGAAATAAAAATAATAATAAGAAAAACAAACAAATACGCTTTATAACAAAAATAGAAGTAAATCAGTTTATAATTTCCGTACCTCATGTTTTTCTGTAAATATTGTGTTTTTGTCAGGCTCAAATTTCACAGCCAAGTCTTTTATCCATTTAACATTTTTTGGAATTACAGAACTCATATCTTTCCTAGACTTTTCTACATTTTTCAAACCACCACCAACTAAGGTCCAGTATGGCTGATAATAATGTACCTAGAAAACAAAATAACAATAATAATAATAAGCCTATATTTCCAATTATTATTTCAAGGAAATTCAAAAAAGTATTTGACTATATTTAGTAATTTTTACAATACAAAACTATGTATTGCATATGACTCTGCTTATTATAACCAGTTTGTGATTTGTCCATGATGATAACAAGTATGAAAAAATAAGACTACAATTAGAAAAATTTCTGGATTTCATTGATTCTAACATTAATACAATATGTTTAAGCAGTTTAAAAATACATAACTTCAAGACTTTAATTATAATTATCATTATAAATTAATAAATAATTATCCAGAATTGTTTGTCTGCTACCATCTTCAACAACACATGAAATGCCAGCAATTTAAAGTATTGTATTGTGAAAAAATAACAATTAAAATGATTAATTCAAAGCATTGATTAAGATCAATAACAATAACTTATAATGATTCATGTTATCAGTTACTTGTTGAGGCTGCTAACATAAACAGAAAGCATAGAAATGTCTACCCATCCAATTATTAAAATCAAAGTTTATTATAATGCATTATAACTTGAATGCTTTAGGGACTTGTTAATTTTGATAATACTGTATTAAATATGATTACAATAAGCAGATTCTATATAAACCTACACTATATATATCACAATCCACAAAGATGAATATAATCTTGAATTTAATGTTATAAAAATTGTAATTCTTGATACCATTCTTTCAAATTTGAGAATAGTTTACATAAAAAATATTGTACAGTACACTTACATCAGAAAATATTCACAGGAGATTCATGCATTTATGTTTTGTACAAATTTTCTACTATAATTGCAAGTAATGTAATATTTAAGCACTTTATATTCTATTGGTTACCTTGACAAGATATTATATAATTCAAAACTTATTGCAGGAATAGAATGAGCCACTCCAGTCTACAAAATAATTGAATATCTTTGGCAGTGCATTCTATAGATAATAATATTCTTGTTCTGTTTTAGTATGCTTAAATTAAAGATAGATTGAAATCCAGATCAAAAAATGTTTCCAATCTACTAAATTTTACATACAGTACTTCTAAAGATTCTGTGTTCATTTATTTACAAAAAAGAGAGTTTTATGGCATTGAGTCTATCATAAATTACAGTTTAATTTAGGGTAGTTTGCTTAATAACAGTTACAGTTTAATTGGTTTCTGGAAAAACCAGATCTGTTGTAAGTTGTAATTTTATAAAATTTTTCATATTTTGAATTAAATATACAAAAAACTTGAAGAATAAAGATCAAAATAATTATAGTTAATTTAAAGGATATCTCCATATGATTTTGCAAATAATTTGTGATTATATGTAAGTTCTAGATAAGATATTACAACAGTATCCAAGCTACAAATGTATAACATTAAATAAATTATTTGAAAACAGGAATACTTTTGCCTTTATTACATATAATCTAACTAAATTCAGTAGAAGCTGGCTTGTTAAGAATTACAGAATATTCTACTCTGTTCTTTAAATTATTAAAAGCAAAAGTACTCTTTTTTACCAGAATTCAAAAGTTATGTAATTTATTTTTATAACTGCTCTAATATCTTATCTATTATTTACATAATTTTCAAAAAGATAAACTGAAAATTAATTATGTGTAGTTATTTGCTATGATACAAAGCACAAAGAGTCAAGATAAATTTATTCTGTAATTAAAAAACTTGTATTTAAATTTGAAAAAAATTGCTAAATCTCCTTATTCTAATCTTTTAGATTAGAATAAAGAGATTTAGTAACTTAATAGTAATTTTAAAATAATATAATTAAAGGTTATTCTTCACAGACACAAAATAACAATACAATAATTGTTCTTTTTAAAAACTATTATGCATTTAAAGCTAATTAATGACAAAATAAATACTTCAAAATTGAAATAATCCACAATTCCTAAAGTGGAATTTTGAATTCTAATTGCAAATTCTTAAAGTTAAAGTTTGAAACCCATTTTCAATACTTAAAAATTAAAATGTTTTCATGCAAAATTAGTTTTATATTTTGCTATGTGGAAAACAATGATTTGAAAAAGTAATTGATATGACAGATATAACCAAATATCAATAAATGTTTTATTAATTGAAGTTTAAATTTGCAAAAAAATAATTTGAAATAATTTTTCGCAGATCTTAATTTTAAATACAGGTAGTAAACATTTCAAGGAGCCCATATTTATTAGCCATCTGGATAAGTAAGGCAGTTAAGGCATCAGCCTACCACTCTGGGAGACCCAGAAGCCCACCAGTGACCAAGCAGTATTCGTTCCCTGAACACTGGGAGTTCGTGGGTTCACACCTTGCTCGGACGAGCTGGCTACGTGGAGTTTCCTGGGTTTTCTCCATGTCTGTAATACCTAAATAGGGGCCAGTTTCCCTTTAAAAGACCTCTCAGAAGGCATCCCCCTAGGCAGATCGCCCAAGTGTTGCACTGCCATAACTAAACAAACAAACTGGGAGACCCAGGATTGAATCTGAGTAGTTGAAAAACTCCAGGAATGTTTGGAATAGTCTGTCCCCAATATATCATGTCTTGTCCCTCATCACCTGGCCAACACATTGTGGGCCTGGTAAAACCAACAATGGGTATCAAAGAAGCCCACTTACAGTTGGAGATAATTACAGTTCCTTTGTGGCCGTGGGTGCAATTTTGTTATAAGGCCCTTTATGTAAATATTTTTTATATTAAAAAGACAACAAAATCCTTAAATAATAAGTTTTTTCTTTATAATATAAACTTCTTAAATGCTCACTAAATTTTTAGATGCATATTATCTTTTTGCTATGTAATTTTTGAGGTTCATAGTCCCAATTGGGTTAAGATTTGCCACTCCCACTTAGTGCCCACAGGGGAGACAGAGTCCAAAATAAAAAAAATAAGTAACCAATATTCAAAAGCACATTATATATCTATTTATAGATAAAATTATAGTTATAGCACTAATTACATTTGATGGTTCAATAATAGCAACTTTGTCTTTTCCTAACTTAGATCCAAATTTTGCAGCAATTGATATTCCACCTGTTCCTCCACCAATTATCAATAAATGATAACTAAATTTTTCATTTTGAATAGCAGAAGTTGAAAAACAATGCTGGAATATTTTAGGCACTTTTAAAAATTCTTTCTTCATAAATGGCTTCATTTCTGAAAAAGTTTATAAATAAATATGTAAAATGATATGAATAAAAAAATAAAAGAAATAGAACATGTTAAATTTCATATACTGTTTATTCATTTAATATTTTTCTATTATTTTGTTCCCAGTACAAAGGGTGAAAAATCTTGTACTAAAGTAAATAAAACATGTAATATGATGTAATATGGAAAACATTCTTCAAACTGAACATCAAAGAAACAATTATTTTTTTTTTCATAAATTTTCTTTTCCTATGAATAATGGAAGTTACATCCCCTGGTTACATCTAACAAAATATGTGGCAGCTATACCTCTTCCTATATAATGTAATTATTGGATTTATTAATGATCCATTTGTTCTCTTTCATTTGTATTAAAAATTCATAATTCAAAATTCATATTTTATAAATTTTCACTTTGACTAAGATATATTTATATTTAATGATGGTATTTGTTTTAGAATTACATTGATAAAAATTTTATAGTTAATTTCAATTGCTAAAATATTAATAGTGATGTGATAAAATATATTTTCTAAATAAAACAGAAGTTGATATAATGGTTCTATTATTTCTAATAGAACTATTATAAAAAATATATATATATAGTTATGTTACAGACAAGCTTTCTTAGAAAAATAATATTTTATTTGTAACAGATTTTACTAAAAATTAACATTCTTAAAGAAAAATCTTACCAAAATCAAATTTAATAGTTTTCATCTACTTTGCAATGTTAAACTGGATTTGGGCAATAGATATTTTCTCCCAACCAAACTAATGCAATTAATGTCAATAACGTTAACTTTCAGCCTAACTGAATTCTTATCACTCTCAAACTTAGTTCCAGGAAATAGTTTTATTGACCATAATTACTTTAATTCAAAAATTAATTTTTCTTTTATCACAAAAATTCTTTCATATTAACTTTTTAAAACAGAAATATTTGATAGAATAATAAAAATATTAAACTAAATTTGAATGATTGAACAGTTCTAGAATTTTGAGATAGTAACTACTGATTCAAAACTTTAATTAAAATAAATAACTACAGAATTCTAATATAAAAATTTTGAAAATATCTTTTTCAAACACCTGTGTTGAAGTAATTGTTTCTAATAATCATAGAAAATATGGAAAATAAATAAATTTTATACTTATCAGCAAATGTTTGGTCTTGTATAAATATGAACTAAATTTTATTAAAAGTTAATTAACATACAATGTAAAGTTAATCAAGCAACAATAGCAAATCAAATATAAATAAAAAGTAAACTAATTGCAGTTAAGTACAGTATTTAAAAATATACTCAGCCATACAATTTATATATAAAATCATCTAACAAAGTTTCAAGCATTTTAAATATTAATGAAACTTTAGTAAAGTCAACTTTGGCCATTTATTTTTATATATTTATGGCCATATGCTACAGCATTTATTAGTTTACGCCCTTCAACAGTAAATACAACAAACTTTTTAACTTAAAATTTAGAGATTACAGAGAATTTACTTACTTACTTTTGAGTAAATCTCAAAAAGGAACGTATCTCTTCCAATGCATTTGATTGACCTTAAGCGTTAAAATAAAGTCACGATTATATCAAAAGTATTAATTTAATGCATAAATTCGACAATTAAAAACATCACGACTTTAGCAATAAATCTAAAATAAATATTAAACACGTGCAACATGCTTTTACCAAAACTTGTAAATTTCACCTCCAACAGGTGGTTACTGTTGACGTTTGTTTCTAACAAATTACGCAATCACTGTCGTCATCAAGTAAACAATCTTTCATTTTATTTGATTAAATTTCTAATGTAAATAATTAAAAATACATATAAAGAATGCATATTATTTCTTTATAGTAATAATAATATTTATGTTAAATCCGTTGAGGCAATATCGGATTATCCACTAAGCACGTGATTACGGCATCAACAAAAATGAGAAATCTTATTGTTTTAATGTGAAACGAGAGCATCAAATATCTCCCGAAAATTTATGTAATTGTAAATAATTTAAATACCTCATTTTAATTAATAATGGCGCAGTGATTATGTGAAAGTAAAACCTTTAGGCTACGTCTGATCACGTGTTATCTTTCAATGAGTATTTGTTAATGCCATGGTTAATATTACTGCTGTCAGCTAGTTGGTGAGTTCGTCTACGTGATAAGTATGTTGCATCTATTACTAACTTGTAAGTTAAAGTCAGCGGGAATGCTGAGTTTAGGAAGGCCCTCCCGCAAAGCAATTACGCAAGTAATATGACACTTTGTTATGTCAGCAAGTGATGCACAGTATACAAAGTACAGTATAGCCAAGAGAAACACAAGGTGCATTCTTAATTAAGAGCAATGGGTAGGCCGAATCTAGAAAAGCTTCGACACGAAGTAATACTCAAGAGGGGTAGAAGAGCGGTCAAGGTAACAGCCTACCGCTCTGGGAAACCCAGGAACAAATCAGGACGGACCAGGAATTTTTCGGGGGTGGTCCGACCGGATATGTCGGCCCCCATCCCTCACCATCTGGCCGCCCCATTGTGGGCCTGGCCGAACCCATAATGAGCCTGTTAAAAGAGGCCTTCTTAATGCTCACAAGGCAAAAAGAGTTTTAAAAATCCTACATGGAAATGGAAAAATAATTAAAAATAAATAAATAAACGCTTTTTATTCACTTAAATACACAAAAAAGTAAAAAATAAATTTTTTCAACTTTCACAGTATTCTTGGTATTATGCAACCAAAACTGAAAGAGTAAAATATTTATTTCTTACTTTTTAATTCATTTAAATGAATAAAAGGCATTTTCTTAAAATTTATTTTATATTTTTGTATTTCCTACCTTTTATATCAAACACTATAGTTATACATAGAACGCTGAAATATCTAGATTCTTCTTTAATAGCATTTAATTGGGAAGTGGGTGAAAAACCAAGTTACAAGATTTTATCTGAACAGCAGACAGTGTAAGTTAATAATAATAATAAAAAGAAACGTATAAAAACTTGAACAATGTGCTTGCATCACTGTTAATTTATCATATTTTTATTTATATTACATAAGAGATATTGCTACTTAACAGGAAAAATATACTAAAATCGATTGCAGTTAGTTACAATACTCAATGTAATACAGTAGTTCTTAGAATTCTTAGAAGTCATCTTGAGAGTTGCGGAGGTCTTTTACTTTTTACTTTTTCTTCCCTATAGGCACTAAGAGGGCCTTTTAATTATACCCATAATGGATTAGGCCAGACCCACAATGAGGCAGCCCTGTGGTGAAAGACTGGTCCCATCATAACTAGGGTAGACCGCTCATGTAAAATAGCTAAGTTGTTCTCTTGGACTCAATCCTGGATCGTCCAGAGCGATAATCTAACGCTTGAATGTTAAAAATATTTATAAGTCTTTAAATTATTGCAAATCGCATTTTAGCAGTGACATAGCGTGCGTGTCAGCCGCCCGGGGCAAAGGAAAATTTCACCGTCTCCTTATTTAGGTATCTCAATTTAAAAGACTAAAATTCAGTTTCGTCACAGAATAAGTAATGAAAAATTCCGTGCTAGTGTTGCCACCTTTTTAAAATCGCTGACCCGGATGGCAGATGAGATTTGTTCGAACAGAAGTTCCTGACGCATGCGTATGTCGTTTTGCAATGAATTGTGTGCAGGTTCTAAATCAGTTACAGTTAGGGACTAGGGAAACTTGGGTAGGAGTAAAGTAAGTAACCTAGATGACTTAGCTGTATTGGATGTTGGAGATGTATATGAGTACGAATGAATCGTAAAAGCAAAAAAGAAAAAATAAATAAATATAAATAAAAAGGTCGACAGGTTGCGGACGGTGAGTCGTTTCCCGGACTGTTCGAATGGTAACACTCTTCCGTACTCATTTCAATCGGTCCAAATCGTAGGTGAGACGAAAATATCAAATGAAATGGTTCAAATTTATATAAGATATTATTATTATTTATTGTGAAATTTTGCCGCCCCCTAAAAAGTGCCACCCGGGGCGGACCGACCCTGCCAACCCCACTACGCTACGCCACTGCCTTTTAGGCTTTTGGGCAGAGAAAAAAAAGAGGAAATGGATTACAGTACTGAAGTGTTCAGTTTATTACAAGAAATAGTTGTATGTGTCGTAAGTGTTATGATGATAATTGTAAGCCTATGCTTCTTTGAAACTTTACATACTCCATTTCCTGGATACAGTATTTAATTTCATAATCATACGAATCGACTATGAAAATTCACATTAAATAGCTGGAAACCTTCAATCAATGTAATCTCATTTCGTAATAACAATTAGTCACACCCAAGGTTATTTCAAGTTTAATAATAACAACATAATTTTGTAACTGTACTGTACACGTCGCAACGGTATTCTTTAATGACGTGTTATGAAGTGACATGGCGGATAAATGATGGTGAGAGTTCTCTCTTTAGTTTTGAAACTTTTTAAATAATCGATGAAAAAAAGGCATATAAATGTATATTAATCTACGAAATTTAATATGCTTAATTTGATGTTTAAAATTAAATTCTGTTTTATTCTTAATTTATATAATATTTTTCATTGGCGTGTCGTCATTGGAAGCGGTGGATGCGCCACTTCCCTTGTATTTTCTAAAAAATAAATACATATTAATTTTAATTATATGAAAATAATCGCACAATATTTTATTATAACCGCATTATGTATTTTATTACAAATTTCTATACTACACGTGAGAAAAAAAGATAAGATTGATATTGTATATTCCAATATTAGTGGCGGAGTGGAAGCGCTGTATTGTCAGCATCCAGAAAGCCAGATTCGCGCATGCGCTTTGCAGAGCATCAACCTCACTCGGTTTAGCCGGTGGAAGCTTAGGACCTAGGTGGATGCTACACGTATACCGCATCCAATTGTATCCGGGACCGGTTCTGGGCTGTTAGCCGCCCGCCCGCTAGATATTTGGCCGCCCTCGCCTGATTACGTAAATCACGAGTAGATTTATAACTTAACCCAACCGATAAAAATTTACTGGTATGTTTTTACAATAGTTCTGTATAGTTGACAGGAGTTTTAAAAAATCCATTAAAATATTTGATATTTTTATTCCGCTCTCCGATTTTATATTACTCAATGTTAAACCGGTGATATTACGATTTCGTATGTCCCATCTTTAAGGGGATGTAGAAAAAACGTGTACAATTTTTGTATAATGTTAAAAACTTAATTGTTATTTTGACAGCATCATTTACAACTAAATTTAATGAATGAGAGAGATGCACGAGGTACAGAAAAAGCTTTAGAATTTATTTTCCTTAAATTTACGATTCATGTATCCGTTTGTCATAAAAATTTGTCTTTCCACTTTTTTCCCGAGACTACAAATATTCGAGAACAAAGTAACAGGTTTCGACTTATTTCTACTTAAGAAGTAGTTAAATAATTAAGCGATTAGGGAATTGGGGACATAAACAAAACCCTGACGGAAGAGCCGAAATTTTACTTAAACAAAAGCTTAGCCGAACCATCTCTAGCCGACTACAGTGGAGACTGATTTCTTCGTATTATTAATGTAATAAAGACAGAAATTTTTCCAGTTCAATGAGAATGACCGAAAAGTTGTAAATTTTGGAAATTTCTGAGGACACTTGGTCCTAAAACGAATTAGTTAGAAAACAAATGACTATTAAGTTTAACATATTTAGATTTTTAAGCTATGGTGAGAAACGCTTAAAATCTACAACAGCCCTGTCGCGTCCTTTGAGATATACTAGTGATGCGACAAAAGAGATATTTGACATTGACCGGTATCGGCACCCTGGGGATTTGGCAGTCCGCGTGTATGCATGCTCTGCAACCGTCTTCGATTCCATCCATTAGCCACTCGTAGGGAGCTATTTGACTAAGTGGATTGTTTTAAGATTTAAAAAGTATAGAAAATTTAATGTTATTTTTATGTACTTTTGTTTACAAATCTATGTTTAATTATAATTTTCTTTAAAAGTATATTCATACAATTGAAGAATATTTTGTACCAGGTATGTACCGGTACATCCACCACACATTTTATTTCATCAAGTAAGTTTTTATTATTTTATTTTTAATTGTACTCCTTATATCGTGGCTAGCGATTCGGAATATAATTGTGATATTAAAAATACATTTAGAGAAGTTTATGGTTTTTACTGGCTTATCGAATAAACGATACGAATGGACCCTAGACCATCACTGACGCGCAATTGACTGATTGTCCCTGGATGTCAGCTTGTTACAGAAACACAGCTTCCTTATCATCAAATGTCACAGCACGCCGCTGATATTTTTACATACAGGTATATATAATAATACGAGGTATATTTAGATTCCAAACTTCGATACTAAAAGATTCATTTTAGTATCTAAATTATTGTAGCGAATAAATAAATACCTGTTTATCTATGATAATTCTTGATATTTTGACAATTATTTAAAAAGCAACACAATAAAATTTTAAATACAGTAAAATTCTAGTTCGAAAAGGTTCCTTTCATTGTCATTTGTCCGCCATGTTGTTTATTTACATGAAGGAAAATACGAGTCTCAGCCGCGGATCGAAGTCTATATACATGAATACAATTAATTTTGAGCAGTCTTAATAAATGAATTATACATATAGACTTCAGAATATGAGTTTTAAAGTAGCAATAATTCATAGAACAACTAAATAACAAAAAAACTAATGAATGAACGAAAAGTGAAGTTTACTATTAAAAATATCAGTTACTTACAAACTAAAATATAGGAAGCGATGATTTAAAATCTTTAAGAACTATTTTTTTTAGTTTATTATTATTTTTTTTTAACTCTTCCGTTCTGTGGGTAGTAAGAATGCCTTTTTAGCAGCCCATTGTGGATTCGGACAGGCCCAGTTGTTTTATAATACACTTTTGCGCCGGATGGTGAGGGCCCTGTCCTTCATCACCCGGCCAAAAGTATATAACAATAGAAATATTTAATAAATTTCTAATTACGTGTTACATTTCTATTGTTTTTCATATAATAATTTAATTTTTTCACCTGAAAAATTTAACTCAATAGCGAAAACTTGTCTAGCAACCGCTAATGCTTTTCTTATTCGAAATTTCAACATTATGCATTATTTATTGTAAATTTAATTTATTAACTTATAATTAAAACTGTTGAATAATTCAATGTTCTTGTGTTTTGCAATCTTCTCCGTAAACAATATATTATAGTAGACAATAGTGTAATTTATAGAGCAAAGATATTCCCTTTTTCTTGAGAACGATATGGCAAATTTTAACTTATCGAATGATTTTTTATAGTGTTTAAATGGATAATGATATAATTTTAGTATTTGTATATTACATTAAGAGAGTTAGGGCCGCACTAAGAGCTAAAAAAGCTCCTGTGCAGGAAACCGAATGATATCCCTCTTCTGGGATCGTTGGCTCCTGTCAATGCAGGAATATTTTCTGATAATATCTGGCATGCGAGTTGTGATGTCACGTGCACTAATAAAATTGGGGTAGTGCAAAAACTAAGAAACTAAACACTCAAGATTTTCTGTTTTTGTTCACTGCTTGCATATTTATAAGCAGAACGCTTATTCGTGTTTGAAATGCTGTATTAAATATTTATATGGAAAAAAATACACAAATTCGGAAGAATAATGCAATACAACATCATAGAGAACATACTGAATAAATTAGGATAAGAGAAGTGTATGCATTTTCTGCAGTGATGGATCTATATAAGAGTTAATAGGGCTTAATTAAGCCCAGAGTTTCCAACTTTTAGGGCACAAAGTATGTAATTGCTAAATAAACGATAGAACTTAGAACTTAGCAATACCAATTTAGAAATTTATGAAAGTTAAAAAATAATTGTAAATTGGTAAGTGTTCAGCACATAACATATATTCATAGAAAGACCTGAGATTTTAAAATATGAAACTTGTAAAACACATTTGGTTTGCAATCTATTTTATGATGGTCATTTCGCGGGGATTTTTTAATTAATTAAGGAGAGGTCAGTCAGTATGACCTCCTTTGACTAAAACTGCTTACAGTATTTTAGAGATAAGTTACAAGAGACAAAACTACATTTTTAAAAAATTTATTATTTAAAAAGTTTAGAAAAGAGGCCCGAAGAATTCTCGTGCACAAGGCCTCAAGAAAGTTTGATCCGTTCCTGGTTTTCAGTATTCCTCGACAGGTTACTTACGTCCATCCTGCTTTATGTATTTTTTTGCATTCACTTTACTCGTTGTGACTGACACGATTTTGCATTTTGATGATTTCATAATTCCCCTGTTTACCTATTGCGTATTAACACTGGGTTGTGAAATCACGTGAAATCACGCGTTATAACAGAAAATATTTTATAATGAGGCTTATTATAATGTGGCCCGTTTAATTACTTTCCCGGTTGATATATATATATATACATACATATAAGAGGAAATGTATGGCAAACGGCCAAAAAATGACCCCCAAGATTTTTATATTTTTGAACTTAAAGGACCTTGAAACGTCGAGAAATACAAAAAATTCGGGTTTTTTTCCCTCCTTGTATGGATGTTAATGCTTTTTTTGGTGCATTATGTGTGGGGAACGATTTTGTTCACCTACTTTGAAGCTTAATAACGCCTGTGCTTTTTGTAGAAAATTTCTGAAATTTTGTAGAGAAGTTTGTATATTAGGGGGATTGATTATATTAAATTTTGGTGGTTAAAGGTCGAGGAGGTGGGAAATAGAGTGGGTCGTGTGTTATACCTCGAGTGAGGTCGGACTTAATGAAAATTTTACTCGTTATTAGCATTTACAGTTTTCTTTTTATAAAACTCACCTCTACCCTCAAAATTAAGCTTTTAGCCATTATATTATAAGTAATAATTAAAAAAAATTTTTTAAATAAAATATAACAGCAATATTCGAATTTTTTGCGAAAAAGTTGCGTAACTCGTTGCTGGATTTTTTTATAATATCAGCAATAAAGATATAAAATATATAAATAAACAGAAAATCTAGATAAAAATTTATTGATTCGGATTGTAGTTTATTAAACAGGGAAAATAGTTCGAAGACTTTAACAATTTATGCAGAATATTTTAACCTTTTCCAAATAGTCTTTTTCCTATTTGCATGTGCACTTAATGTAACTGGAACATTGAGTCTCATTTCTATCCTCAATAATTTTCAATCTTTGGTACTTTCCTGGTATTGATTTTCAATATTTTTCGCTCTTCAATACGTTTTCCTTGTGTTGATCCTCAATATTTTCCATTCAATACTTTCCTCGTATTAATCTTCAATATTTTCTGATCCAACATTTCCCTTGGCATGATCCTCAATATTTCTTAATCTTTGGAACTTTCCACGTATTGATTCTCAATATTTTTCAATCTCCAATACTTTCCTCTTACTGATCCTTAATATTTTTCCATCTTCACACATATTCTTAAAATGACGAGTTAAAAAAGAAATAATAACAAAGAACTTTGGTGAAATGTTAAATATTAAATAATGAAACAATTTTTATCAAAAATTGTGAAATATCACAAGTTGTAAAATAAAAATCAATGAAATGATTTCTCTTCGATGAAATATTCATCAAACACTTCTTCTATTTAGGATCATATCAGCAGCTTTTTCGGCAATCATGATTACTGGAGCATTAGTATTACCAGAAACAATTGTGGGCATGATGGATGCATCGACAACTCTTAATCCTTTCACTCCCTTTACCCTAAAAATCAAAAATAGACATTTTATTAAAATTCTTACTGAATTTTTCGATATTTAATAATAATAAAAACCAGTGTAATTTCTCTAAAATAAAAAAACAAAAAGTCATTTTAGCAATTTAAAAACTGAAAATTTACCTGAGTTCTGAATCTACTACAGTTGAAGTGTCGTTCGGATCACCCATTTTACAAGTTCCTACTGGATGATAGAAGGTAAAAGTATAACTCTGGGCTATACACTTTAGGAAATCGTCGGAGAATTTTTCATATTTTTCGCATCCTGGGAAAATTGTTTCGAATGGTTTGGCACCAAGAAGTCTAAAAGGTGCCGTTCTCGCTAATTTATAACAGATCTTCATTCCTAATTAGATGTAAGAATGCTGATGTTAATAAATTGAAATAAGAATGATTGAGATATCTACTCTGAAAATTGAATTTACCTTCAACTAACACCTTTAAATCTTCAGGAGAAGAGAAGTATTTTGGATCAATTGTGACTGAGTCATAAGGATCTGCAGATTTTAACCGTATTTCGCCTCGTGATTTTGGTCTTAGTACTATTGGAAGCATAGCTACAGTGTCATTTCTCGCGTAGGGTTCGTATACTGTACGCCATGTCTGTAAAAATCTGACGTTAACAATCTCATCTTCGACTATATAATACTAGATTAACTTTTATAAATAAATTTCATCCTACTTGGGCTGAGAGTCCAACTAGTTTCCTTAGCTGAGCTCCTCTGTCTGTTGCTGGGGTATATGAAACAAAATGTATCTGGATATCTGGCCAGTCTAATGAAGGTTCGACGAGGGGTGTATTAACAAAGGCCATACCTTCTACTCCTCCCAATATCGTTAAAGGACCTACAACAGTTAAAAATAAAACTCTATAATTTCTCTTACAGTATATCAAACCACTAACACCACTAAACCATGCTACTGAACCCAAAGTACTAAAAGCTAACAAACCACTTCCGTGATGCAAAAATTGTATAACGTCGTCGTTGGTTAATCTCTCAGGCATTAGTGATACCGGTTGATTAAGAACAAAGTTTACCCCACCAGTAGCTACGTGATCCTGAAGATTTTTTCCTACAGGTAGATCCATGACGATTGGAATCTGCAGGGAGATAACGATGTAGAAAATAAAGCAAACGGCTAATTTTGAACATCCATAAAAACGAGTTAAGTTTTTAAGCTCTAATTTTATAAAATAACATACATTAAATTTATCCAATTCCTCTTTGGGTCCAATACCAGACAACATCAGAATCTGAGGAGAATTAATGGTTCCAGCTGAAAGAATTATTTCTTTTTTCGCCCATGCTAATCTTGTTTTATTTTTATGATCAAAAATCACTCCACGTGCATGTCTGAAGACATCAAACATGATCTACAAAAATATTTAATACGTATAAGAAATTTTATGGATTTTCCTTCAGGAAATCGTTCTATTAATACAGAACGATTTCCTAAAGGAAAATCCAACTGTATAAGGTTATTGAAAAGTCACTTGACAATGTTGTTACCTTTCTTTGAAAAACAATGTAAGGTAGCAAGTCATTGCAAATCAGAATCGAAAGAAAACCTCTGAAAGTTTTATCAATAGAGTATAAGGACAGAGTTCAATGCACTACGTGTGACCCGACATACATCCGAACGGTATTGAATATCACAGATCAATTACCTCAACGTGGAAAAATCGCTTACCAATAGAGGAATATATGCAAAATCCTTGACATGTCTTCGCAGCGGCTCCTTGAATCTATAACACACAATCTGAAAAAGGTAAAGCAGGAACGTGACTATCGCTTGAATGTGTGTCGGGTCATACAGGACATCAAAATTGAATGTTTATAATCCTTGTGCCATCTAAATGAACCTTCCAAATTTCCTTTTTCAATCTCGATTTGCAATGCCCCGATACTTTTTATTGTTTTCTAAATAAATAAATTTAAAAAATGCCAAGGGACTTCTGAATGACCCTATACTTAATGCATATATATTTTATTGTAAATTTAGTAAAAAATATTCTACAGATTAATTAAATTTTATATGTTTATTTTACATACTTTACGCTTGAATATTATAATAATTCTGAGAAAGAAAAAAAATAAAAATTATCAAAAAAATAGAAAAAAATTAGATATTTTATTTCGTTATTTACTTTAATTTTTTNTAATTATTGTATTTTAACGTAAATTTTTTCAATTATAATTTATTTTATACTTTAATTTAATAAAATTTTAATATGTAACAAATTCTTCAAGCTTTGTTATATTAATTTAGTTATGCTCTAGCAAAATTATATTTGTTAACAATTGGCAAATAAAAATAAAATATAGACTGTTTATTGACCATTGTAATGTATAATTTCTGAAAAATATAAACTTATTGTTCTTATATTGTATTGTAAACGATTTTAAAAGCAATTTAAAAGTAATTTACAGTTTATGAAAACAAAACGAATAAGTTCATGCCTCATTCATTGCTCCATTTTATTTTATTCTAATATATAAATAGATTACTTTATATATTACGTAGACAATCATTAACAATCAAAGAATAATATAAATGTAAAATTTAGAAACAATTTGTTTTTTTAAATTATGATTTTATATAGAATTACCTGAAAAGTGGAATGTTAATTAAAATAAAAACATAATCCACAAATGGCCGAGTGGCTAAAACTACTGAACACTCGGTTCGAACCAGATTAACGAGCTGGCCACGTAGAGTTTTCCGGGTTTTTTCGCTTGTCTAATACCTAAATAAGAGTCCGTTTTCCCTATAAATTTCTCAAAAGAGACATCGCTCAAGTGTTGAGGCCCATATCCCATCAATTCGATCCAATTAAATTAAAAATACGTAAATGAAGGCTAAAATAATTCAAGTTTACGTTCAAAAAATTATATTAAAATATTTTCACATCGACACCATTTAAAAAATAACTAAAAAATTTTAATTGAACCTTCAAACAACGGCCACTCCCAACAACGTTAGTTGAGTTGTTTAGAGGTTTGACTGTATTATAACTATCAACATATTTTTGCTATTGAATAAATGATAAATATATTCATAAAGTTTTTTAAAAGTGATTTTACTTTAATTCTCTTAGAACCTAAGAGTGGCGAGAGGTAAGGGACAATGTACTTTCCTAAAGGCTATAAAAATATATAAATAAAATTAATAAAACAAAAAAATAAACGAATTTTTATTACTTTAAAAAACAAAACATTAATTTCTGTTATTTTTATATTAACTTTTTAAAATAAGATCTTTTTAAGGTTTTTTTTTGTTTTTGTTTAAGGTTGCTCTTCAATCTCTATCCCTTTCGCAGTAATTTTCCCTATACCTCAAAATACAGTAATTTTAATTCTAAACTAGAATATTTANCTAACCAGCTGTTTGACGCAGTTTTGTCAACAAAATCCAGGGCCAGGTTATAAGGATGCCTGCCATGGAGTGCCTTTCGAGTCCACAATTATTAATAATAAGAAGAAATAAATAAAATAGTTAACTTGTGTCTGACAAATTCCTTTAAAGAAAAAGAGTCATAATATTGTTCCTTCTGTCAAGTTTCGAGGTCAAAGGTAAATTTAGTAAAAGAATTTATAACTTGTATAAAACATTAAACCTATTTGAACCCAACAACTTTTCACATCCATTTCGTATTATAATACGTTGTAATATTGTTTATATTGTAAATGAATGACTTTTTTTATTTAAGAAATAATATTTAAAACTCAAATTTTAGTGTATAAATCACACTTTTACCTAAATAATATAGCCTAATTAAAGTTTGATAGGATACGGCAGCATGACACGTGGGTAATCTTTCAAGGGGCATACCTCTCATAAAGATTTTCTATGGGGAAGGAAAACGCTCCCTATTTAAGTGTCAGACACGTGAAGAAAACTCCACGTGGCCAGATGTTAGTGAGGTGTGAAGCCGCAATTAACCACTGTAAGAGGTGAACTCGAGATCAACTACTAATGTTAAGTAATTTGTGTCACTGTTCGGTGATAATCATGAGTGAGATATAATAAAATATGTTTGTCCTTGGATGAAACTCGATACGTCCTTTTAATAAAATGCTATATGCTCTGGTGATATAAAATATCCACAGACACTAATTATTTCAGCTAATGGCTGTTAGGGGATTATTGGCGTCAGGGATATTAAGGCTATATATAATTAATTTATTAATTTTGTTCATAAATATATTTTTATATAACTTTTATTTTCAAGTTTACATTTTGAATGTTATTTATTAATTAATGAAATAAAATGATGAGTTTACGACTAACTAATTTCAAGTAAATTAATTTTTTTTTACATTTAAATTCAAATGGCTAACAAATTATGATTTAACTGACTTCAAATTAGTTATATTTATGATGTAATAATATAAATTTTATTATAAATTTATATGAGAGAATAAGAAATGACAAACGAATGTTGATTAAACTTACCTGTATTTATATAATGAAATGAATTATTTTATAATAATATGGTTTTGAATGCTCACTTCATGTAATGGGTTATGTGAGGAATTCTTTCAAAAACTTTGTAATATAATTGAGAAAATTATGTTATTTAAAATTACAAATTAGATATTATTTTAATAATAAATCTGCATATTGTAATATAATTTAACTAATAACATATATTATGACAAGTTATATTTATACCAAGAGCTTATAACTGAAAAATGAAGATTGATAATTTATACAATCAACAATTAAGGCAACAAGATTAAGACTTGGTAATTTATATTTACATATCAAAACATAATAAAATTATCTTATTCTTTTAAGAAGTAATATGTTATTTAGTGATCGTATCGTCGTACAACATTATCTATTGCATTCATAATTTAAAGGAAAGTAAGATGGGTACCGTACATTGGCACGTAAGTATACCTTTTTTACCTTCCTTTAAATTATGCGGTTGTGAAAGTAAATAAGTTTTTAGGCTAATGATTTTGCCCTTCGTAATTGCAAGATTGAATTACACATAAAAGTAGAGTTATATTTAATTACTTTTTTAACAAAAGCTGAAGTGATGATTTCCAAGTTTCTTCTTCCTAATATAGGACTGAGGAAAGCTTTCTCCGTGCTGCATCTTGATCCATGTCGAATGGTGCCTTGAGGCAAAGAAAACCCTGAAAAATGTCGAAGCATCACACATAATGCTCAGTTACAAGTTCTTAATTATGTTTAACACTTACCTGTTTGATTAGGTCCATTTAAATCTCTTCGCTGATATCCTAGATGTATTCCTGCAGCAACGAATGCTGATGCTGCAGGAGTTTTGAAAGGAGGAATTGAAACTGTAAGCTCACCTCCTTTCTTATGATAACCTTCAAAAAACATAATGTATTAGTTTAATTCATTGCATTCGGATATAAAAAAACGGCTGTTACCTTCTGATAAATCTCGTAGATTATCATTATCTTCAGATTTCAGAAAATATGGAAAAACATCTTTCCAACTCCATCCAGGAGCTCCTATCTCAGCCCACTGATCATAATCTCTCTTATTTCCTCTAACATAAAGCATATAATTTAGCACGCTGCTGCCTCCTAAAACTTTACCCCTAGGCCACCTACTCCTCTGAGAATAAGGAATATTTATATTTAGACAATTATAAAATTATGAGTTTTTCACTTAATTTTTAATTTACTAAAAGGAAAACCAAAACATTCTGCTGTAAAAACGCCGAACGATATTTCTGTAAACTTTTGTGCTTTATTCTGAAGTGAATGTTAAATGTATTATTCAATTGTAAGCATTTTTGCTATTTAGATTTTGATATTTTGACTATTCATGATTACTTACCAATACCAATATAAATACCCACAATTATAGGCATTTTAATATTTTTTACCTGTTCGATATGACCAAAGCAGGCAAATTTCTGTGGCTCTGTCTTGTATCCCCAATCGTGTTCATTAGTCTGTAATTGTCCGGCATACAAAGGTACATCCGATAGATGATTAGGAAAATCCCCATATTCTAATAAAAGGACGGATATTGACGAATTTTCTGAAAGCCTGTTAGCTAAAACTGCTCCAGCTGTACCTCCTCCAACTGAAATATAGATTATACTGTAATATCATATACAAGATTTTTAAGTTTAAATACAAATAATGAGTAATTTGTATTTTAATTTATAATAAATAATAGATGACCGAATGGACCAGCGGATAAGGTAGTAGTACACTTCTCTAGGAAATTTGGGATCGAATCCGAAATTGTCGAAAAAACCCCAGGAATTTTTCGGATTTGGTCATTCCGGATATGTTGAGCCTCGTCCCTTATCACCTTGCCCCCCTATTGTCTGGGCCCAATAATAGACTTGCTATATGGAGACCTATTAGTGACCACAGGACGAAAATGAGTTTTAAAAATTAATAATTTTTTTTCTAGAGAAATTTTATATTGAGAAACATAATAATTGTGTATATGACCATTCTCATCGCACATTACATATTATACAGTAATTATAAATTACTGTAATTAAGTTATAATTAATTATATTAAAATATAATTAATTATAAATTAATTATATTTTAATATTATACACTGTAATTACTAAAATAATAAATTTATTTAGAAATTGAAGGTTTTTTCTAATTAGATTTTCACGTTCTTCAGCATGGTATTACCTATGCTAATATTATTTTATTATTATGCTATACATTTATTCAAGGCTTTATAATATAATATAAAAAACGTCTCGCAAACAAATATACTGCATTAAGCATTTAAACTAATGCATATACACTCGAACCTCCAATAACGATGACCTAACAATAATGACCACTTCTAAAAAGCAGCCATTTTTTTCAAAANTTATTGATATATATATATATATATATTTCTGAGTTTATTGCTTATAACAGGAAGCTAATTCGTTTAATTAATTTAAATATATTTTTAATTAAAATTCAAACCTGTAAACGACGGCCAGTGACAGGAACATGAAAGATGGCCGTTGTTCACAGGTTTGACTGTAGTTATAACGAAACATTTTAATTACAGTTTTTTTTTTAAATAATTAAATAAACGAATAAAAAATTGCTATATTCTACCAAAGTAGAAGTATAAAATTTTTAAAACAAGTCTATAAAATTAATGCTGAAAGTAAACTTACTTATCACGTAATCCCATGTTTTGTCCAAGTCGTAAATAGTTGCTTCTATTGAAAGTAAGTAGATCAAACATAAAGAAAATAATTCAGTGAGCTTTCTTAGAAGGATAAACATTTCTGCAGTCTCTGCCGACGTATGATTATAAACTGACAGACCTACGGGACCACCTTTTTAAACGTCCTTTACTCAAGTTGTTATCCCTGAAATGAAAGTAAAACATAAGCTCGTAATTAAACGAGTTATCCGTACCGAAGGATAACTTAGTTTTTTGTTTTCTTTTTTAATTTAATATTTAAATACTTTTCGAAATTTAATTTATTGCTTAGATGCATTTTCTCCATTATGTGACTCTTTGTGACCTCTGTTAGAAAGTATTTAATTTATATTAATGCAAGTAAACGTCATTTTGAAATTGCCTTGTCTTATAATGACTATGGAGGCCTTCTTAGTCAAACATGCAAACAATTTAAATTATAGAGAAAGGAAAATGATATAAATTTCCGTTTTTTTAATGTAATTTTTTCTTTATAATAAACAACCTTGTGTATAGTGTTTAATATGTTTATATATATAGAAGAGATTTAAATTAATGCTTAAATCATTTTTATAGATATATAAATGCTATTAAATACTTTAATTTAATATGTTTTATATAATTATAATAAACTACTTTGGCTATAACCTTAAAGGAAAATTAACTTAAAATGTAATTTTTGAATAATTTTAAACATTTGTCTCTTGATTTATCAAAATAGAATTACATTACCTAACTTAGAAAATGTGTGTCACGTATACGAATCTGACCCATTTAAACAGGTTGTCCCATCTTCAAACCCATGTTTTTTTTTCCTATAATAATGATATATTTACAGAAAAAGAAGGCAGTAAAATGTCTGGAGTACGTAACAAATGAATTTAAAATTACATTTATTTCATTTATTTTTGATTACGATAAAGCTAGTAAATTCATCATTGAAAGAAGATTCTATTTTATATTATAAAATTCTTGCAGAAGATTACGGGCCGACAGTCCTACTGACCTCTAATGTATATATTCTAAGAGAAGTTTGCGACATCGAGAAGGATTGAGGATGCTTCTTTATTCAATTTACTGAATGAATCATTTAATACACAGTAAACTAATTTATTAATTTGAAGTATTTTTATATGAAATATCCCTTATTAATTATTTACAAATCCAAATGTAACCATAAAAGTGTCTTCCTTTTGATAAATGTCTACATATATAAGTTTATATCATACTTCAGACATCTATAAACCTCCATATTTTACTATTAAAAAATTCTTTAAAATGCTTATACTGTATAGATTTTTTGAGGTTGTTGCTCAATTTGTATTCACGTCTTGTATTAAAAAGTAATAAAGACAGTATAATATATTTGTAAATGTGATATTACATATTGATTAAAACTTGCTTGCTTCTGCAAACATTCACAGGCAAGAATGTAGTTTTTATCAATCTCTTAACATGTGGATACTTGAAGGACATTTAATAATAAATTTATTTATAATTAATGTTACTTCTTACCCATTTGAATTCTTATTAAATTCTTTCCGCAATAAGGGCCCTTTTCAAACTTATCATCGATTCTCCAAGCTCATAAATGGGGCAACTTAGGAGTTTAGACCCTGACAGCTCTTCCCAAAAATATCTGGGATTTTCGAGTGCTTGGATTCGATTTCAGATTTTCCAAAGCTGAATGCTGATACTTTAAGAGCCTCGGTCATCAATAATTAATGCAATAATTAGAATACAGTGAACCTTGATATAGTGCCATCCTCGTAAAGCGCCAATAAATATTTGTAAATGAATTTTTCTCGTATATATTGCACCGAGAACTTTTTATTATTTGTGAGTTATTAAATATACGATTACATATTGTTATCATTAAGTTATGTGACTTTCAAACTTTGAAATTCAAACTTGTAAACAGACCTTATTACTACACATAATTGTTATTATTTGAAACATTTCAATTTAACGCCACACTGATCGTAGTGCCAATTCCAGAGGTAAAAAATTGTGGCGCTAAGTCGAGGTAATATTACGTTTAAAAGAAAATTTTTGCAATTTTTATTTGAATGATGTAAACACTCATCACTAATGGTTTACCATTATATTCAGGTCAAAAACTTATAAAATTATCTTATTATTAAGTGCATTTATAAAAATAATATATTTTATAAGAGCAGTAATTGCTTAAACTATAAGTATTTAAATGATAATAAATAAAATTATTAATCGTTATTAATGTTTTCACGCAATTTATGACGAATTAATTACATAACTGTATAATTTATTAATATATTAAATCAACGCTAATATTTAAGAATGTTTTAATATATTTAGCGTATATTATGTAATACTCATTTAGAGACCTAATTAATGGGCGAATGGATAAAACCACTGGGCACTGATAGTTAGTCGAGGGTTCATCCCTGAGCAACGATCTGGCCACGTAGAGTTATTCAGGTTTTCTTTATCTGTCTAACACCTAAATAGGGGTTTTTTGGACCATACTTAATTGCGATGAAAAATATCCATTGCAGCTAATTAGGACTTTCAATAGGAAATGCCCATTGAAAGTCCTTCCAGGAGGAATCCCCTTGTCCACGTTTTGCTTTGCCGTATCCTATAAAACCAAAGTGATGATTGATATTTTGTGAGATAAGAAAATTTAAATCCATAATTCTACTTCCAAATTTATATAAATATTTTTATCCCCTGAAACATACCTCTGTACTTTGCTTGTAATTTATGAGGCTTGCTGTACAGCAAGTCTCATAAATTACAAGCAAATTACAAACAATTGTCACAAAATCTTTCTATAAAGCAAGTCATTTAAAATTAATAAATACGAAAATATATAAAGGAAAAAATGGCTAGTCTACTAGGTGACCCCATAAAAATCGCCCTTAGGTTAATACAAATTAATTAAAAATCTTCAATAATGAAAGCTGCATTGGTAATTAAAGATTTTCAAATTAATATTCTTCCAGTAATTTATATCTTAAATGGGTAGATACTTGACCTACAAAAGATATAAGAATTTGATTTTTGACCCTTTAATCATAATAAATCCACATCAATTTGTCAGCTGAATGAGGTTTACTACAGTTATTTAGTACAGCGTGATGCAAAATTTTTATTTATTCTAATAATTTTCTGTTGAATGTTAATTAATTAATTAATGAAACATAGAATACAATCTTATTTTGTTAAATTTGAGAATACTTAAAAAGAAATTCCTATATAAGGTGAAAATATTTCATAAAATATATTCCGCAACATCATGAATGACATATAGAAATATGAAAGCGTTAAATTACATACTTGCATACAATTCCAGAAATTGTCTTTTGTGGATACGTGACAAAGATCACGTACGTTAGAAAATCATTAATTTTATATAGGCCTAATCGAGATTATAATTGGATTGGCCTGATGAAATAAGGCAATTCGTGGACGATCTGCCAAGTTGGGAACCTCCTAGGAGGACGTTCTGTAACAAATTGTCTGTGTTACACACATAAAGAAATTATAGAAAACTCCGCGTTGCTAGCCAGTTGGTCAGGTGCGAACCCGCGATCGACTACCAGTGTTCAATGATTTTATCCATTCGCCACCTAGTGAACTGAGATTATAACTGAATAATTGTATAAAAAGAGTTTTAAACATTCATGTTTTCATTTTTGACAAAGAATATCTTGAAAATCAGATTAGAAAAAGATTTTGGTCCAGAGGATCTTACCTCCCGAAATGTAGATTATAATATAAAATTTTCCAAGGTGATGTAAAAGCAAGAATTTGTTCTTATTTTTTTGGTTGTAGGAATCAGAGCGTTTTTAACTCTTTCCGCCCTGTAGGCACTAAGTGGGCCTCTAAGCAAACCCATTATAGGTTCGACCAGGCCCACAATGTGGCTACCGGGTGATGAGGGACACAGGGACAAGGGTTGACATATATGGTCGGACCATTCCCCGAAAAATCCCCAGGAACTTTTCGACCCGTCCCGATTTGATCCCAGGTCCCCAGAGTGATAGGGCTGCCCCTTGATCGCTCGGCTATCCGGCCACAACGGCATCAGAGCTAGTATGAGTTACGTGTTCACTTGGATGAAGACTTTGATATTTAAGCAAATGCATATTTGATTTTTTTACTTCCAAATTTCGGGAGTTATGAATTTAAATTTTATGTGCAAAACTGTTTTTTTCAATATTCTGCCTATTAATGCATATTTTCTTGCTTTCGATAATTTTATGGATTGTAACTACGCTTTTTGCATTCTCTTTAGCTTTTTTCAAACACGTTTTTAGAAGTTCCTTCAAATTTAAACTGGGTGTTGTAATTGAATTGGCTTCGTAAAGTATCATTGATTCAATTGACGACAGTTTTCGGAAATCGAAATATGCTTAGAGTAAAATCGTCTTATAGTTTTAAATGCAGAATGTATGTTGAAAAGTTCGGAAAAATATGTTCTAAGATGGTTCTCTTCTTCTCTACAAGCCATGCGTTAAAGCTGTTGCATGGGAAAGAAGGACACAAGTGCTTCAACATATAAACACAGGATTGCATAATCCTGCCGTTTTACGGTCCAATGAAAGACGAAAACGGTGTCTTCTTAAACATTTAAGGAGATCTGATCATCAGGGTAAGTTGCAATTTTGGTATGACTTATTGGTTATTGATTATAACAAGTTGGGCATCAGCTACATCGCCCCGTGGAAGGTGAAAATTCAGTGGATAGTATTAGTAATTGGCTAATACGCGCGGGAATAATGCCTTCCGGAGGTCTTTTAAGGGAAATTAGTTTCTATTTAGGCGTTACAGACGTGGAGAAAATCCGGAAAACTCCACTTGGCCAGCCCGTCCGAGCGAGGCGCGAACCCACGATCGAACTCCCAGTGTTTAGGGATTGGTCTACGCAATGTGCGAGAACGGAGTCCACTCGGCCACTGGTGGGCTGGTATGACTTATGCAAAGCGTTGGTTGCCGCTGACAATTCTATTCACAATTCATCAATGATTTACGTAAGAATTTCCATAAGAAATATGCAAATGATAAAGTACCAGACAAGACTATTCTTCAAAACAGTTACATGATAACGACGTAATTCTTATGAAGATACGACAAAACTATTAATACAATTAGAACAAATACTGTGGTTATCCGGTATGA